CACTGATGCTGATCAGAGTGCGCCGCCTCGCCCGCCCAGGCGTCGGTATGATGCCACGGTCCTTCCGCCTTTGCGCTGCCAGGACCGCCAGCTCGTCCGGGAGACCATCAAGCCGATCGTCGATGCGACCCCAAGTTTCGACGGCACATGGCAGTACACCGCACTCACATCTATACCCCTGGGTGGGTGTATGTGCGGCCGTTTTTGCGCTGTCATGTGCGCGCATGTGCGCGGCATGTGCCAGTCATGTGCCAGGCCTGTGCGGTCCTTCTTGGATGGACTTCCTACTGTGCACGTCGTGCCCGGGCATGTGCGGGGGCGTGTGCGCTGTGTTTTGATGTATCCATCATACGCACATGCACGCACAGCCCGACGCACATGCGCGCACATGCATGCACATGCGGGAGGTGTTCGAGAATCGTAGATCTGTCATCGGCACATGCACGCACATGCCTGTGCAACCTCTCTTCGGGAGGCCGCGCGGGCCCGCACATGCACGCACATGCGGTGAAGCGCGCGGGCGCACATGCGTGCACATCCCAATGCACATGCACGCTCATGCCCTAGGAGCTGTCTGGGACCCCTGTGCCTCCAATGCCTCCTGGCCTTCGCAGAGCTAACCTGGGGCGTGCCAGGGTTTCCTGAAAGAGTTTGTTGTGCGTTTAGACTCGCCCGCTGCTGGCGGGGGCGGTTATTCGCCCGGTTCGTGAGCTGGCGGTGGCGCGCCCGCCTAATAAAATACTCTCCCGCGCGCCTTCTCAGCTCGGCCGGAGAAGCAGGGATGGGGGGGGGGGAGGTGGAGGGGGGGGGGAGGAGGGGGGGGCGGAGGAGGCGGGCGCCCCCGGCCACTGGCCAGCCTGCCTGTTCGGCTCGGCCAGAGGAGAAGGAGGAGGAGGAGGAGGAGGAGGAGGAGGAAGAGGAGGAGGAGGTGAGAGTTGCGAGGCTGTCTCAGGCGAAAGTGGCTTGACGGCCCGAGCTCAGGGAATCTCGGAATCGCTGGCCTGGCTCGGCCACCGGCGAGCTCGGCCTGTGCGAATACTGTGCGTACCTGTGCAGTGCATGTGCGGGACGTGCAAGAATGCCGGGGCCGGCGTTCGTCTCCGGACGCCGGCGCGTTCGCGTCCGGCCAGTTCCGCGTGAGACGTCGTCGGCAATTTGGAGGCCGACGTGCTTTGACATGAAGTGATCTGGCCACCTTCGCCTGAGACATCCTCGCAACTCTGGTCTCGGAGATGCCCTGCCCCATGGTGGCCCGGCCACTTTCGCTTGAGACATCCTCGGGACTCTGGGTTTCGAGACGCCCTGAGCTGAGGTGGTTAGACCACTTTCGCATGAGACATCCTCGCAACTCTGACCTCAGAGATCTCCTGCCCCATGCTGGTCAGGCCACGGTCGCCTGAGACATCCTCGCAAGTCTCGATTCCGATATGCCCCGAGCTGAGGTGGTCAGCCACTGTCGCCTGAGACATCCTCGCAACCCTGATCTCAATGATGCCCTGCTCGATAGTGTCTCGGCCCCTTTCGCCTGAGACATCCTCGGAACTCTGGGTTCCGAGACGCCCTGAGTTGAGGTGGTTAGACCACTTTCGCTTTAGACATCCTCGCCCGAGATGCCCTGAGTTGAGCTGTTCAGGCCACTTTTGCCTGAGACATCCTCGCAACTCTGACCTCAATGATGCCCTGCTCCATAGTGTCTCGGCCTTTTTCGCCTGAGACCCTCGCAACTCTGGGTTCTGAGATGCCCTGAGCAGGTGGTCAGGCCAGTCCTGCCTGAGACATCCTCGCAACTCTGGGCTCCGAGATGCCCTGGGCTGAGGTGGTCAGACCACTCTCCCCAGAGACATCCTCGCAACTCTGACCTCAGAGATCTCCTGCCCCATGGTGGTCAGGCCACTTTCGCTTGAGACATCCTCACAACTCAGACCTCGGAGGTGTCCTGCCCCATGGTCGTCTGGTCACCTTGACCAGCGACATCCTCGCCACTCTGGTTTCCAAGATGCCCTGCCCCATGGTGATCCGGCCACGCTTGCCTGAGACATCCTCGGAACTCTGGGTTGCGAAATGCCCCGAGCTCAGGTGGTCAGGCCACTATCGCCTGCGACATCTCTGCGGCATGTGCGGGCATGTGCGTCTATGATTTCAGAGTTTTGCTTGACCGTGCATTCGACTGTGCGTCGGACGGTGTGGCATGTGCGCGCATGTGCGGCAATGCTGTTGAGGCTTTTGTATATTTACATGGGCATGTGCATGCGACTGTGCGGCATGTGCCTGCATGTGCGGCCCCTTCCGGACCACAATTTCAAAGTGAGCACTATAGAAGTGAGCGCTATAGAAGTGAGTCCGGTGTACAGATCTGCCGGCAGATGGCTTATAGCGCTCCTCCTTGCACTTCGCGCCCTCCTTTGCCGCCTCGCCTTGGAGTAGCGGCAGCAGCATGCAAGATTTCCTTCGCGGCGGGGTGCTGGACAGTGCCGGCCAGTAATCGATCTGGCGCAGTGGCATGGCCGAACAGCTCGACGTCCAACGCGGCCTCAACCCAGATCTCGCTGCCACCCCGGCGGGACTTCTTGAAGCCAAGCTATGTGATACTTTGTTCGAGCAAGACCGCGTGGTCGGCATCGCGCCCAGCCTGCGCCAAGACGCGGTTCAAAGCGCTGTGCCGGATCGACGTGTGCGGGCCGACGTTGCAGCACACGGCATGGTCGTTGCATGCATCCAGGGTCTCACCACAGTGCACACGGGTCTTTGGACTGGGCGCGGGCGCATTGCAGACCAGACGGATACACCAGGAGACCGAGCCTGATTTTCAGGGCCATCGTGAATCTTCAAGCAGTGGCGAAGCATCCTAGCTCGCCTATCGGCCGACCAAAGAATGTTCTAATAACCTTCTGTGGTCTGAGCGAAATGTTCCCAGAACGCTTCTGGTTGGGACTATTTTGTTTTAGCACATAGGGCTTATCGTTTAAGAAAACCGTTTATGCTCTTAGAACATGTTTGGGTTCTAAGAAGACCTCATGGTAGGCTGATAGGAATGCCGGGACGGTCGGTCCGACACGCGAGCCAAATTCCGTTTCGAAGAGGCAAGGTTGTTACGAAGGGCTTGCTCCGTGAAGGAGTCCAAGGCGTCCAGCAGCGGAATGTGAATCTTCCGGGTCTGACACCACAACAGCGCAGTTGGTGCCAACTGCGAGGAGGGGGGGGGCTCCCGCGATGACTTCCCTGTCGTGGCGGACGTGCACGGAATGGCGCTCCAGGGCGGACAAACAGTGGCCGACGCTAGGTAAGTCAACCGCGCCCCCGATGCTGTTCTGATCGAGCCCCAAGGCGACGAGCCTCTGCGCGACGGCAGGTAGATACTGGGAACGGCAGCGAGATGGACAAACAAGCCCTCAGAACCAGCGCTGGTGAGGTCGCAACCTCCACGCCGTGCCGACAGCGTCAAGCAACCTTACTGCTGGGCCGTGAAGCGGGTAGTACGCGCATCCCGACAGGACGTGGCCAACACAACTCGATCTGGTCGCTCCGCGAGGGTGGAGAAGGACTCCGGGTGAAGAATGCGGGCGTCGTAGTCCAGAGCCGTGTTCAGAACCTTGTCGAGGAGGGTCCACACGGTGCGGTGGACGGGCTGCGCGAGGGGCGTGCGCAGCATGGTGTGGAACGCCGCGGCTAGCTCTTCGGCCTGCCTCAGCCGCTTTGTGGACGCTGCAGGAACCGGGGGGAGCTTATGGAGGCCGCGTGCGGCCCATCCAGACCGCCGCCCATCAACTCCAGATTGTCGAAGACCTGGGAGAGGCCCATGCGCCGGAGGACGGGGTGCAGGACGCCATGGCCAGCCGAAGGTATCCAGACCTTCGATTTGGAGAGGTTGAGGCGCAACTTCGCCGTGGCAGGGGCGTCCGTGAGTAGAGGCAGCCATGCGTGAGCTAGGTTCGGATCGATGTTCGCGAGCATGTCGTCCATACGCTCGAAGTGTACACGAGGGCTCATTGAGGCGCATTCTGCAAGCGAATACCGGCAAGAAAACATTCGCAATGCACGCCAAAGCCCCAGACAGAACAACAGTGAAGAACGCGTGTGACCTTGAAACAGACCATATAGCATCGTAAACCGTCCCCACGATGATGATCCAGAGGAAACGTAACTAGGCGTACCAGCCGTGCCCCAAAAAATGTTCGCCATCCCGGGCAATTCTGCGAGGACCTCCTCCATTATCTCCGCCCGCGAGATCTCTCCAACGGCGTTGATGAAGTCAAAGGCGCAGAAAGCATCGCCAGGGCACAGACGAGATAGCGCCTTGCCCAAAGCCAGCAGAGTCTCGGGAGCCGCCTTGACTCCAATGCCGAGCTGGGTGTCCGAAAGGAGGTTGGCCGCCTTGCTCTGGAAGATTTCCTGCAAGCACGCCCCTGGAAGGGAGAGCAAAGCTTCTCCGATGATGATGGGCCGGACGTCGTCGCCAGCAGGCCTTTTTCGCAACGAGATGCCGAGAGCTGCGCGCCATGGCGTCGCCATGACCTCTGGCACGGAAGCAGAGACCCACGCTTGGACCCAGCCGGTGAGAGCAGCGAGGCCACCGTCAGTGGCGGCGATGTTCTTGAGGCGCGAATTCCCCCATGAGCTCGTGCCAGCGGCCTTGCAGTCAGCAGTTTTGGTGACCACCGCGTTGACAACCGTGGCTGCCACGGGGGGCGCGCAGCGGGCAGCGCGCTGCCTGAGGTCCGCGCGGGACCGCAGGGAATCTCGAACAGGGCCCGTGATGAATTTGGCACGCGCGAGGCCCACGGACTCGGCAGCAGCTGCATGAATCCCGCTGCTGGCCAAGATGCGCCGCCCAGTCCTTACGTCGCCGTGCAGCACCTTAAAGATGCATGCTCCGAACTGTCATCGCTGGAGCTCCTCAGCGTCATCGGTGGCGGCCGTAGCCCGCCGCTTCGCTGCGCGAGCCGCCGCCAGGTCGGCGTCGGTGAGTGCGCCCCGGACTGCCTCGTGCCGGGAGCCCTGCTCAATAAGCTGGAGCCGAGCTTTGACCAGCGGCGTGACCTGCGATGCGCCTGGCTTCCTGGTGTTGCCCAGCGCCGTGTCGTCCACATGCTGCTCGATGTCTCGGGTAGCCAATGAGCCGGGATGACGCAGGAACCAAGAGGCACGCTCCGCCCGTACCGAATCCACCTCCGGACGACGCACTGCCATCAGGAACCATCCCAGGGCCGTGGTAGACACCTTGCCGAACCTGTGAACCAAGCCCTTCGGAATGAAGAGGTGCGTCGACATCGGCGCGACTTCCGGAAGCCCGCTTGTTTTATTGTTGCCCCTCTTTAAACTTCACATTATGTCTCCATCGTTCTCTCTCTCTCTCTCTCTCCCTCTCTGCATGTATCCCCAAGACGGTTCAAGAGGCCCCCCAAAGGCCCGAAACATTTGTCCAAGAGGCTTCCGAGAGGCCAGGCGTGGGTGCGGGCTGGCACCTCGCAGCCGCTTGTTCCAGGATCCGAGAACCAGCGACTGCAAACACAGGAGTTTGCTTGTTCGGCGGCGAGCTCGGGTGGAAACTGAAGGGCCGGGCGTTCTTGGAGACCTCGGATGGCCTCGGGCCTTCCGAGAAGTTCCCCAATCCTTCCTCGAGGATGGACAGCTTCTCAGAAGGCGCGAGGGCTTCTGAGAGGCCCCGGTGCCCTCTTGGAAAAGGCCTTCTCCTCCTCCTCGTTACCCCCCCCGACGCGCGCGGCCGATCTGGTTTCGACGCGCGCCGAGGGAGGTGCGCTGACCACGGTAGGGCGTTTTCCTTAAGTCGGGCACGTCTTTGTCTTCAGGACGAATGTTCAGACATTGCTCTAAAATCGTATGGGGGCGATTGTTTGATTGTTGCTTGACCATTGTTGATCATGTTTGGGCCATGTGTTGTTGTTTGACATGCCCGGCCTAACGTTTGCCCCGACCGAGACCACTTCCGCGAGCCTTCGCCGCTTTTGTGTGAACTCCTGTCGGAGCGAGGTGCCTCTGCTGTGGCATGGAGTCTCGCCATTGCCCCGTTTCTTTTTTTGCATCGGCGGCGCGATTCTCGAAGTTCGGGTTCCCGTGCCGCCACGGCCACGCGCTGGTGTGCCAGTACAGATTCACGATTAAGTCCCGCACCTTGCGGGGTGGATGCCCGCTCGGGCCGAGAATCTGCGGGGGAGGGCGGCAAAACGCCTTGTCCGAGCCCAGAAGACGTCCGAACGCTGGGCACGAGGAGGAGGAGGAGGAGGAGGGGGGAAGATCGGAAGGATCGAGGTGCCCTGTTCAAGGGTGCTGTAGCGGATTCCGACGACCCAGGACAGGAGAGTGGATCTATTACATATCAGGAACGGCGGCGGGATGGGCCGAAACCGAGCTTGGTTTGTGTCGTAAGCCTTCCCACGTTCTTTCTTGCCCTCCTCCAGTTGGCCTTGCCGGCTCCAGCTGTTTTGGCTTTGTTAACTACCTCACGCCTCCTCCATTTCTTATCCAAGCTCCACGTCCTCGCCCCGTTTTATCACACTTTGTTTTCCGAATGGTTCCATTGGGCCGTCCCGTAGGTTGTGCAGCCTCACTTGGGACGATTGGCGGCGACAATCACATTCCCGGAAAGCCTGCCAGGAGCATGATTGTCGCCGCCAGTCGAAAGAGGAAAGCGAGGGCGAGGAGGGGGAAAGGAACGCGGAAGCACAGCGCGCAGGTGAGTATGACGCGAAGGAGGAAGAGGAGGGGGAGGAGGGGGAGGAGGAGGAGGAGGAGGAGGAGGAGCAGGAAGGAGGAGGATGAGGAGGACAAGGAGGAGGCGACCAAACAGCGAGAAACGTATGAAAAGGAAGGAGGGATAATCCCTACTCGTTCATTGATCCATCCCTCTCTCCATTTCCCGTCCTTTCCCTTTCTGCCCATCTTGCCTGTCTGCTTCCGTTCTTCCCTACCTGCCTCCCTCCCTCCCCTTTCCTTCTCTTCCCCCTTCCCCTTTCCCCGACCACGACGACGACGGCGACGACGCCGACTGCGACGTCGACGCCGGGATTGCGCTTGCCTGCCATGAGAGTGGATCAGGATATGATTCATGAGGATAAGGATGATGTCTTCGGAGTTGATTAGAACCTAAGCGCGCGCGTAACGCGCGCGTGGTTAACGTGGCATGGGAGGACCGGGGCCTCCGAGACCGCTCCCAGAGCACCCCGGAGGGGCCGTGGAGCCCCCAGACTGCCCCAGAGAGCTCCAAGACGCTGCCAAAAGCTCCCGGGGACTTCGACAGGCCCCTCCAAGACAGCCCAGATAACCCCACCGTGGCCCAAGATGGGCTCCAGACCGCAAATGCACAGCCCAAGAGGCCTCTTCAAGAGAGCTCCGAGAAACATCCCGAGAGAGCCCGATGAGGCCCTAATCATTGATTTTTGTTTTTGTAATATCGACCTTCCGATGCTCCAAGACGGCCGACGACGCCCCCAAGGTCGCCCCAAGACCGCCGAAAAGGCTGCCCAAAAAGCTCGAGACGGCACCAGGGAGCCCGAAAATTGCCCAGGAGGAGCCCCAGACAGCCCGAGAGGCCCCAGGACAGGCCCAAGCTGAGCCACAGAGCGCGAGCACAGAGCGCGAGCGTGAGGCGCCAAGGCGCTCCAAGCCGGCCCAGATGGCCACAACGCGGCCCCAGATGAGCCCAACACGGCCAATACATACAGCCCACGAGGCCTCCAAGAGGCTTCAAGAGAGCTCCGAGAGGCGTCCCGGGAAAGCCCGACGAGGCCCACATCCTTGATGTCCGGTGTTTTTCTTTCAATGTTCGCTTTCTCGCGTTCTCGAGCTTCCAACGCTCGAAGACGGCCGAAGACGCCCCGAAGATCGCCCCCAAACCGGCGAAAAGGCCCCCAAAAAACCCAAGACGGCCCCGGAGAGCCCGAAGACTGCCCAAGAGCAGCCCGAGATTGCCCCAAGAGAATCCCAAGAAAGGCCCAAAATGGGCCCCAGCGGGAGCGGGAGGCCCCAAGGCGCTCCAGGACGGCCCAGATGATCCCAATGTGGCCCAAGAGGAGCTCAATACGGCAAACACAGCCCAAGAGGCCTCCAAGAGGCCCACGAGAGCTCCGAGAGACGTCCCGAGAGAGCCCGAAGAGGCCCAAAACATTGATTTGATTTGTTTTTTGATGATTCGTTTCGCTTTCTCACGTTTTCGCCCTTCCGACGCTCCAAGACGGCCGACGACGCCCCCAAGACCGCCCCAAGACCGCCGAAGAGACCCAAACAGAAAACCCAAGACGGCTCCAGAGAGCCCGAGAATTACCCGGGAGGAGCCCCAGACGGCCCAAGAGACCCCAGGACAGGCCCGAGAGGGGCCACGGAGCGGGCGCGGGAGGCCCCGGGGCGGCCGAAGACGGCCCAGGTGGCCCGGGCCTCCCCCGTCCGTGCTTCCTTCCCGCCCCCCCCTTGCCTCCATTCCCTCCTCTCTCTCTCTCTCTCCTGTTCCTCCCCTCGCCCCTCAGGTTTCTTGCTTCTCCCTCGCCTCCTGGGACTCCCTGGGACGACCCCGCCGAAGCACCAGACAGGCCCCGCCAGAACGAGTGGGGCATCGCTATACCCCATCATTTCACAAGTTGCTTTGCCCCTTTCCACCTCTCAAGGGCGGCCCTGGCAGAGCGAGAGGGGTGTTGCTATACCACATGCAAGCCCTGTTCTGTCTTGCTCCTCCCACCGCACCCGAGGTAGCCCCGGCACACGGGGTGTGGCTATACCCTAACTTTCCTTAGTGTTCGTGCTCCTCCCTCCCCCTCCCCTCCTGGGCAAGCCGCGCCTGAGCGCCACGGAAACCCCCGCCTGAGAGAGTAGGGCCCCCCTACCCCATATCACTTCACAAGATCATTGCTCCTCCCACCCTTGCAGGGCGGACCCGCCCGAGCGAGCGGGGCGTGGCTATACTATACAAGTTCTCTATTTTTCGAGTCCGTCCTTGACTTCCTGATAGGCCTCGCAAGAGAACCAAGAAGGTACCGCCAGATGCCCCATCAGAGCTCCAGGCAACCCCATACATGGGACTTGCCAGGCAAATCATTGAGCATCCCCCGTGAGTCCGAAACTTCTGATCCCACGGGTGCGAGTATCGCCGGCATGCAGTTTGGCGTCCAACACAAAGAAGTTTCTCTACTCCCGTGGACGGATTCGACAACAACCGATTGCAGAGAAAGGCGGCGATGGCCGGGAGATTTGCGCGCGCCCTCTGCAGATGCCAGACAGCTGAGCGACCGCTGAAAACGAGAAGCCTGGAACACAAGGAAGAGGAAAAACAACAAATCGCTCCCATGCGCGCTCGACGAGGCCCCGAACCAACCCTAACATCAAGAGCTGGCGGACGTTTGCGTGATCGGGCATGGGAAGACCAAGCATCTGCGCAAAAAAACACTGAGTGTCACGACGGGGCAGAGCGGAAGTGACCGTGGAGAAGCATCCCAGCCCCATAAGCCAGACAAAAGCGGCAACGAGATTGTGAGATGCGCGGGAACGTGGCGCCCCGCGTTCTGACTACGCGTTTCTTTGCGTCGATGGCATGGGCTGCGCCCGAGAACGCTGGAAATCGTCATTGTGGCCGCAGCGGGGCTTACAGCGGCACCCGTGGTTCATCTGCGATTAGAATGAAAGCGCGCGCGTGGTGCGCGTGTTTTTTATTTCTCCTCTCTCTCTCTCTCTCTTTTTCTGTCTCTCTCTCTATGTATGTATGTATGTATATATGGATGGAGGGGGTCCCGGGCCCACCAAAGTTCACTGATTTATCTTGCGGCCGTTTCGGGCCAGGCGGGGGGCGCCACAAATCGTCAAGTGGGGGCCCAGGGATGGCCAATAGGGCGCCAAGATGGCCCAAGAACGCT